AAACTGTAATGATGTGTAATTAAAAAAGCTATATCATAGCTCTTCCTATAAACATTATAAGCATACAAATGAAAAATTAGCAAAAATTCATTCTTTAATTATATTTTATAACATCTTTTTTTAAAAAAAATATTTTATTTATTTTTAAACATCTTAGACATAAAATACATCTTTTAAGAGCAAAGGTTTGGTCCGGTATTAGATAAGTACAATTGCCCACACTTCTTTAACCAATTTGATTCCAAATTTCATCCATTTACATCTTTAAAAAGAAAAAAAAAATCAAATCACCAATTTTTTATTATACATTCTACCATCTTATTCTAAATACTTGGCATTCTATTGTATCACCATAAATCTTAAGTCACAAATAAAACACAACTCCTTTTTGTATACAATCTTTCATTTCCAAATAAACACCATTCTAAATTTATATCATTTTGTCAATCAGAATTCCTGATCTATATTTTAACCTCTATTGATTTACATCTAATTTCCTTAATCTTGTCATGAAATACGCTTCTCATTTTACATAACATTACTTCAGAATCGGTTCACATTATCATTCATTCCACATTTCCATCCATAGTTTTATCTAGTTCCCAATCTACTTTATTTTGGCTGATTTCCAGAGTATTCTCCATTACTCCTAGATCTATTATTTAGCTGGTTCACAACTAAATTAGTTGTTTTCAGTATATTCTCAACTCCTCTCGCTGATTCCAGCATATTCTCCTCCACTCCTAAATCTATTATTTAGCTGGTTCACAGCAAGCTGTTTTCCAGCATAATCTCCTCAATTCCTCCCGCTGATTGCCAGCATAATCTCCTCCACTCCTAAATCTGTTATTTGGCTGGTTCACAGCATTTTAGTTTAGCTGTTCTCCAGCATGGTATCCTCCACTCCTTCCGCTGATTACCAGCATAATGTCCTCCACTCCTAAATCTATTGTCGCTGATTACCACATGCTTTCCTCAACTCCTAATTCTACTTGTTTGGCTGGTTCACAGCATTTTGTTTTAACTGTTCTCCAGCATAATCTCCTCCACTCCTTCCGCCGATTACCAGCATGATCTCCTCCATTCCAAGGTCTATTATTGCTGATTGCCAGCATGCTTTCCTCCACTCTTACATCTATTATTTTAGCTGTTTTATTTTAGCTGATTCACAGCATATTACATAGGTTGCTTTTTCAACATATTCTCCTACATATCTCCCGCCAATTTAAAATACAAACGTGTTACAACAAATATCTTCTCACATATTCTCTCCTGGATTATAAATTTTCCTTAAATTCATCCCATTTCATATTTATTCTTATTTTTCTGTGAAAGCAACATTTTTATCTGCCTTAAAATCAATTTTCTCTAATTATTAAATCTATAAATAACTCCTGTTAATATTCAAAATTCATTTAAATATTTAAAACATCCTATTCTCATTTAATCATTTATATTCTTGTTTCATGACCAGATTGATATATGTGTGTATATATATATATATATATATATATATATATATATATATATATATATATAGTCAAATTTAAAAGGAATGGAAATAAAAAGTAAAAAGAAAGAGACAAAAAGAAATAGAAGAAAGAAAAAGGTAATGAAGAGAAAAAGAAAAAAAAGAAAAGAAAAAGAAAAGAAGGGAAAAAACCCACCTCCTATTAATATTCAAGCTTCATTCAAAAATTTAAACTTTTCCATTTTTAATCAAGCTATTTTATTTTTCTTATCTCACAACCAGCTATATTCTATTTCTTCCTTTTCCCATCTGTCCAAAACTGTTCCTTTTCAAATTCAATATTATCAAAATTAAAAACTCTTGTAAAGTTTAGCTCTTTTGTAACATCTATTCCATATTTAGTATCATTGTCCCTTTTTTGGTTGCTGCGCCATTTTCTTTTGTTGCTACGCCTACTAGTTCAATTTTAATTGTTCTATTTTATTTCTTCTTTCTTTTCATCAATAAAACCACCAATAGACAGATTGGGAATCCCCACAGTCAAATACCCTTGGTTGTTCAAAGTAATCCAATTTAGGTAGCAAGACACTGTTTCTCTTTCAGGCCAAAAGCAATCCACAATTTACACTTTCACAATTCTCCATTTTTTCCATTATATAATTGTCCGCTTGTCCTTTCCCCTTAGTTTTTAAAGATTCCTGCTTATTGCCTCTCCTCTCTTTCTCTTTCCAAGAGTAATCCATTCCAATTTAAAGAGATTTCAAAGTTTTGTAACTTTCCAACAGACAGTCATTCCAAATCGGTCCATAATAAAAGTAACTCCTTGATGGGTCTCTTCCTCCTGCAAATTATTTTACTAAGTCTTCTTGCCCCAATAATCCATAGCCGCTAATTAAGGCTAAGGGCTCACTTGTAAAAGTCCATTTTTTGAGCGCTGTTCCCGCCTGGGTTAATATCACTCACCCAGCTTCCAAACGCTTCGCTCTTTTTCTCCAATCTTCCTCCTGCACAATGCTTCTCCGGTTTGCCCCGGCTTCGAGGTAGCCGCCATGGCTGCCGCATCCCCGCCGCCAACTCAGAGGGTTTCCTCTGGCCCTGAGGAACTTGCCTGTTCCTCTCGGCCGTCCAAGGTGTCCCTCTCTTTCCCCTGTCCCTACAGGACAGGATTGGTCCGCAGACCTAGCAGCTCAACAGTCGGGGTTTTTGCGGGGCTCATCAGAACCCCGCTATTTCCACGAATGGATCGCCGCGGTGCCAAACCGGAAGTCAATTATATTTTATAACATCTTGAATGAGCAGAATGACTTTGTCAACACTTTTCAATGATGTATGCACATACATCAGTAGAAATATTACTGAATGTAGAAACATTTTGGAAAGGAGAGAATAGTATCATTTGTTTATTTACTGAATTTATTTCCAATATTATCTACTGACTCACCGGTTTACAAGTTATACAACAACATAATAGTTAAAAATCCAGTGGAATAAAATATAAACAATAATAACAAAGATAAATCATTGCAGAAGTATAGCAGCTTTTACAAATTTATAATTTTCAAAATAGATTATATAATTACTATGAAGCAGCCTACCAATTACATGAAGTCTACCTGTTTGCTGTTAACAATGCAGTTTCATAAATATAGGTAAACAAGAAATCATGGCAGCTGCTATATACAGCAAAAGGGGAGGGTAATTAGTAAATTGAATAAATTTACTTCAGATCTTATGTCAACAAAAAGACTGCAAAAGAAAATTACTGTGGCAATGTATTTAATATGGGCTCCACAAAGAGCACATTCTACAAATTAATTTGAACACAATTTCAGATACTGAAGTACATACCAAAATTTAAAATTCACTTTTACAAAAGGACAGACTAATTTTAGATGCAATGTTTTAAATATACACAAGCAGCATCAGAAACGGGTAAGAGTATTTTAAAGCATGTCTGAAAATTATAAATTTTTGTAAATTATTTTTACAGTAACTATAAGTGTAAAAATTTTACTGAATAACTAATATCCACATATTTGATTTGAAGAATGAAGGCCCAATAATGTAGATCAGTGCCTTATTTAACTAAGATCTCAAACTCTGTTTACTGCACTTACAGTTCCAATAAATACAGGTAATTGACTTACAACCATTCAGTCACCATTTGAAATTACAATGACACTGAAAAAAGTGACCTATGACCACTTTTAACACACAACCATTGCAGTCCCCCCATAGTCAAATGATCAAAATCCAGATACTTGGCAACTGGTTCATATTTATGACAGCTGCAGTGTTCCAGGGTCATGTGATCACTTTTTGCTTGTCTAACAAGCAAAGTCAATGAAGACGACAGATTCTCACCTAACAACCGTGTTACTAACTTAACAACTGCAGTGATTCACTTAATAACTGTGGCAAGAAAGGTTGTAAAACCTTTCAGGTTGAAAGGGCAAAACTCACTTAACAAATGCCTCACTTAGCAATGTAAATTTTGGGCTCAATTATGATCTAAGTCGAGGACTACCTGTAAATAGACAGGTGACAGAAAAAAGACATAATTATAGATAAAAAGATATTTATATTATCATCAAATCAGAGCTCTCTGACTATACTATATGCCATTCAAAATTGTACTTAAATGTAAATTACTTTATAATGTATCATTTTAATATTTGTCACCAATATACACATAGTTCAATTCAGAGCTGCACAATATTTTTTGTTTGGCACCTTATTTTCTCAAGTTAAAACATATTATCTTTTCTCATTACCATTGGGAAGTTTACTTTTCAAAAACTTCCTATGAAAGATCAGTCACTAGGAAGTTTCAAATAGTGCAACTTTAATGTAATGAACAGCAGGAGGCCCAGTTATTACTGCAGGTCTTTCCTATGCAGACTTCAAAATAGGATTATTTTTATCTTTAGGCTGAAATAATGTTTCATTTATAAAGTTTCTAGATAGTATTAAGCATCTTGTTACTCCTGTCCTTTGCCCTTTATTTAAGAATAATTATTTTCTGTGGGATTTGTTTCTGAATAAACAGATTAAGATCTGGCTTCAAAGAATGACAAAATCATGTCCGTGGGTTCTATTCAGCAATCTTTCCACTTCAGCTAAAACCAGTGTTTGTCAACCTCAGCAATTTTAACATAACTTCAACTCCCAAAATTCCTCTACAAGCTATCCTGGGAGTTGAAGTCTGTAAAACTTAAAAGTTGCTGACATTGAGAAACACTGAGTTTAAGGAATCAAAATTGGAATCAAAATTCAGTACAATCCTGGACTAAGTTAACTGTAGTTACAGTCCTTTTTATTAAACAATAAGGCAGTTAACATTACTGTAAGGCCCTTTCATCTTATCTCTAAGGATTGAATTCTTCTTAAAAGACTTCAACTTCTCGTTTTTTTTTCTATACAGTATCCTATGCACATGAAGACGATCTGAAACGTCCACGTGATGGTAGAAAGGAGGACTGTTATCGTCATGCCACGTTGTGCAACCAGCAAATTACCAATTTGGAGCGAGGACTCCACAAACAAAGCAATCATAGACTGCCTGTTGACTTTGTGCTTTCCTTCTACAGCAGCAGGACATTCCTGTTTGTGTGTACACACTTGCACTTGGCAGTTTTCAGAATCTCAGTTACTAGCAAGGAGGCGGGAGAAACCACAGGCTACACCGCCGCCTTTAGCACAACGTGCCCCGGCGCACGACTGCGAAGCAATAGTAGCACTCGGCTCCAGTCCTGCAACAAGAGGACAGACCTAAATCCGCGGCCTTCTCTCGCCATGAACCAGACTGCCCAGCTGGCGGATGCAAAACAGCAGGCGTAAATTACGCACCCAGAAGCAGACCGTCCATGTCAAAGATCAGGTGAGTAACAGGCTGCGCCGACGGCGGGTGGCACGAGGACGTAGCCATTGCGTTTCAACCGCGATCTCTGCCAAGAGCAGAGCTTAGGCAGGGCTCCCTTTCTGCCCATGCGCGCTACTACGACAAGATGGGCGTGGCTTCGGGGACAAGGAGGAATGGCAGTCGTCAGGACTTTCTCCGGACTCTGGGAGATTAACAATTTTTTGGGGGGGGGGCAGATGCGGAGGGGAAGCGAGGGCGCGGAGAGAGCATTAGTTTCCTCTGCACATGCGCACCGCTTTTGTTCTCTTTCAAACTGTTGAGGCATGGGTGGGTGACGGCTGCTGACGCAGATCTCTTCGCTTTCGTGCCTGGGATTTACTGTTCTGGTTTTATCGTTGAAAATGGGAGGAGTGGCTGCTTGGTTTGAGCACAGGAAGCAAGTGTGGAGAGTCCTGTGAGGAAGGCAGCGGTGCGTTATTCAACAGATACAAGCATGAATAATCTGCAGGTATTGCACTACATAAAAAAAAAAAAAGCCGCAGGTATTGAATAACGCTGCTTCGTTGGATCTCTCTCTTCGAAAAGAAGCCTAAGAAAACATTTTACTTGGAAATCCAATTAGGCGTTTCACTTCCCAAAAGCAGGATGTAACCTAAACCCACTGTGGACAGAAAAAGACATTCAGATAGGATTTAGCCCGAGGTGGGAAACAAAATAAGTAGCATTAAAACTCCGTGTTGTCCTCCTATATAAGCATCGGAATCCCGGAGAAATCATCGCTTTGATCCTACCGGCTTTATGGTATTAACTTACAAGCAATGGCAGTTTAAATTTGAAAAGTTCCTTCTAAAAGGGAGGAATTTAAAAAATAAAAAATACTAGGGCACCGGGAGAAACTACCTTACTTTTTGCAGGGAACAAAGCTGGATATCACTAGTAAGACTACACTCTTTATTTCAAAGACCATTTCGAAGATGGAACACTTAGATCAGATTGGGGTTAACTGTGTGGGTGATCATTTAGTATGAATATGTCCTATTGTTTTCTTGTACCCGTATATACTTGTATATTTATATTAGAGTTGTATTTTGATATGGTCAAAAGGTTAAATCAATAAAGTTTATTCTATAATAAATAGTGCACCATAAAGCTCTGGCCATCTTGGTTCTATTACATCTCTGAATTGTTGGGTACCAACCATTAAAGTACCTGTTTTGGGGATGTCCTTTAAAGACAGAATGAAGACTCTCAGACTAGGCAATGGTCAGATAAGAGGGTGAGCCCACATAAGGAATGGGAGCATGGAAAACATTTCAAAAGGGACAGTTTTTAGTTCCTTGGACTGGAAATATATATATAAATTATTTGTGGTAGAATGAATTTGAAATCAACTTTTGACTTTATTGTCCCAAAATAAGGTTAGATCCCCCTATGACAGACGGTGACACGCACGCAGTTGGGCCGATAAAATTAGTAATGTATGGCCAAGTGTAAAAACAGCATTACAAAAGGCAGCAGACGAGTACAAAAAATATGCAGACAAGAAAAGAGCTGATCCAAAACCATTCGGATAGGAGACAAAGTATACTTATCTACGAAATACCTTAAACTCCGACTGCCCAGTAAAAAATTAGGACCTAAATATATAGGACCATTTCCCATAACACAAGTCATCAATCGGTAACCGTAGCTCTTAAACTTCCCCCTCTGTTCAGTAGGATACATCCCGTAAAATATAATATGAAAGACTACATCAGTTAGTGTCTATTAGATCTAATGATGAAACTGTAGGAAGTTAGCACCCACCTCTTTCCTAGAAGAATGAAATATTTTAAGAAATATTAAAAAGGCAGAATATTATGTTTCCCTGGATGAAAAATGGAGAAGCATGTTTTAAAGACAAAGCAGCTCCCATCTTCCTGCCCCCACCCTTTGTCAATGGGCCAGAGGCAGAAACTCAATCTTTGTCAATGGACCATCACCTGCAACACAATAGGACCCATCTAGCAACAGAAACTCACCACATGGCACCTGGGAAGATTACATCAGCCAGCAAGGCTAGCTAAGACCTCCATCCCCTGGGAGTCTGACAACCAATCAGGATACTCTTTCTGGGCTCCAGGATGTTCAAAGCCAGAGAGGGCATAAAACCCAGGGACTCACTGCGTCTCAGCCCCTTTTCTGTTCAGGAACTCAAACCATGTGATCCTGTCCACCATTAAACCATCTTTCCAAGCAGTCTCCATGTTCCCAGTGTCTTTTTCCCCACTTGGAGCAGAACCTAGAAGAATATTTCTTCCTACAAAACTTTATGAGAACAACATGCAGATTTATTACAGTTGTCAAGGATGTGTATGTGTTTGTATATGTTTAATTTAAATGGAAGCAAGAGTTTTCTTTATTTTTCCTTCAAAACCATTTCCCTTAGGGCAAGAAAGATGTAAACTTAAGATTTTATCAGAACTAATTAAAAGTACTGTAGTGGCATAAAATTATTACTTATTTTGTTAATTAACTATGTTATGAATGCATGCATGTAAATAGGCTTGCCTATGGCGTGCATGAATTTGCATCCCACCTACTATCAAAATTCTAGGCAATTTACATTTTCAGAACAAAAAGAAAATGTGAAAATACAAAATACCATGTAACAATATTAATAATAGTAATGGTAAAAGTAATCTTTGTGATTTTTTTCTTCATCTCTGAACATTTAAGTTAAAAATTAGAGTATTAATAATCTCTGATAATGTATAAATTCCATAGTATTCAAACATCGTGTACTACTTGTTTTAACATAAATATGTACAGCATAGTAAAATATAGAAAAACAGAGAGAGAGAAAGGACTATCTTAAGCACCTATTGGGAAAAAAAAAACATTTTTTACTCCTTTCTGAAATGTCATCAGAAATGGAACATTCTAATCTTAGATAGGATGGAGGTTATTCCAGAATGATGGAACTGTTACCACCCTTTTGCTGAGTTACTGAGTATAAACATCCCTTGTATTTTTTAAGGAGGATAATCTCTGCTTGACCTTTCTCCCTCCCTCCCTCCCCCTCCCCATTTTTCTATATCTTACTGTGTTGTACATATTTATGTATCAAACAAGTAGTACACTATGTTATTTGAGTACTATGGAACTTATACAATATTATCAGAGATCATTAACACTCTAATCTTTAACTTAAATCTTCAGAGATGAAGAAAAAAATTATGAACATTACCTTTCATATCTAAAATATCAATATTGATAAGTATAGAATTGTTTAAATTTTGCATCTAAAGCTAAATATGGCATTAATAAATAAAATCAACTTACATCATATTTGTTATGCAATAAAAGTTTCTGTTTTAACTTAATGCTTAAGGTATCCACTGTATAGTTACTTGTTATTGTAGTTTCAGCATATTAAATACCAAACAAAATATAGAACAAGAGAAGCAGAAAGAAAAAGTTTTAGAAAGTTTGTATGTCTGTTCTCTCAGTCACAACGAAGGAAGTGGGCGGGATATGTCTGTGGCAGTTGAATTTCACATGTAATCACTTTATTTTGCATTCGCGAACCAACTGGCAGCCACTGTGTTTCCTACATATCAATATTATTGTGCTGGTTTGTCAGAAATTGCACAACTATATTTGCTATTTCAAGTAAGTCCCGTGTATAGCAAATCAACTATGGCAGTGGTTCTCAACCTTCCTAATGCCGCGACCCTTTAATACAGTTCCTCATGTTGTGGTGACCCCCAACCAGGGGTGGGTTCTAAATTTTTTTACTACCGGTTCTGTGGGTGTGGCTTATTTTGTGGGTGTGGCTTGGAGGTCATGTGACTGGGTGGGTGTGGCTAGCTGGTCATGTGACCAGGTGGCCATGGCTATGTGTATAGGGACTACTCAGAGGGCTGAAAAAAGTCATTTCTGACAGGTCCTCACACTTTTGACTGGTCCTCACACTTATGACCATCCTCACATTTATGCCCGTGCAGCATTCTTAACAACCATGTCACTCATTTCACAACTGCTTCTCTTCACCATGGTGACAAGATAGGGCAAAAACGTAAAATGTGAGGACAGTCGTAAGTTCGAGGACTGGTCAAAAGTGCGAGGACAAGTCAAAAATAACTTTTTCAGCCCTCTGAGTAGTCCATATGCACAAAAGGACTACCCAGAGGGCTGAAAAAAGTGATTTCTGACAGGTCCTCGCACTTTTGACCGGTCTTCGCACTTATGACTGGTCATAAGTTCGAAGACTGGTCAAAAGTGCGAGGACCAGTCAAATAACTTTTTCAGCCCTCTGAGTAGTCCATATGCACAAAAGGATACCCAGAGGGCTGAAAAAAGTGATTTCTGACAGGTCCTCGCACTTTTGACCGGTCTTCGCACTTTGTGGTCATAAGTTCGAAGACTGGTCAAAAGTGCGAGGACCAGTCAAATAACTTTTTCAGCCCTCTGAGTAGTCCATATGCATAAAAGGATACAGCAATAGAGAGGGATGAAGGAAGGGAAGGGAAATTAGAGGAGGAGAGGGTAAGAGAGGGAGGAAGAGAGGAGGAGAAGGAGAAAGGAAGAGGAAGAAGGGAGGAGGAGAAGAGGGTGAGGAAGAGAAAGTAAGAAGGAAAGAAAAGAGAGGTGGTAGGTTTGAGGAGAAAGATTGCTGTACAATAAAAAAGATGAAAGGGAAGAAAGCCAACCCCAAACAAATATAAAGATATTAAGATAAAGAATGAATTGTTAAACTTTAAAGAATAAAAGAGAACAAATATGAATAAATAACAATAATTAGAAAACACACATACAAACATACAATGTATTTTCTTTGAACAGAGTATTTGGCCGGTTCATAAATTTAAACAGTGTTTAGTCATTTCAATTAAATTTACAATTTCTATATTTCCTTTTTGCCATATTTATTCCTCATCTATTTTTGTAAAAAACCAATAATTACCCTTCATCCTCATCTCTAATCTTAATCAAATTCAATTTTTCCCTTCTATATTATATCCCTTCCCATTGTCATCTATTTTTATATCCATCCTCACATTGGTTAATTATGTAATATTAGTTGTTTAATATAAATTCAACATTTTAATATAAATCAATTAGTTATATAACTACCTTTTTGTATTTAAAATCAATATGAACATGAATATTCCAATTTTTTCCATGCAATCCAATTTCTTACAAATCAATTAATTATATTTACCAATAAATAATAAACCAAATAATTTCCCCCATATATTCCTCCAAACCACAACTTAACCATTTCTGCTTTCAACACAATATACAATTAATAGTATCTCTCAATTATTACAATTCCCTAGTTAAATAGAGCTTTTTTTTTCTTGTGTTTTAAAATCTCCTCTTTTTCCCTAAATTTCCCGTGTTGTTTGCACCTACCTTTTTTGGTGAGGAAAAAGAAATCTGCCTGCCTAATTTTCCAACGTGCAAAGCCAACAGCCTGTTTTACTTTCTCTTTCGTTTTTCAATATAGGTAGGGGGAAAAAATCTGCACTCTTTCCAAGCAAGCAGCAGAGCTCTGAGCAAAACAGCTGAGAGCAAATCAGCTGGGGCCGGGAGACGATCTAAGCAAGGGCTAATTAGCCTATGCTGAAGCTCCGTGGGCCAATAAAATTACAAAAAAACACCGAACCATTTGTTAAATTGCTGGCTCCCCCACCCTCGCCCACCACTATTTATTGGCAATAAATAGTGGTGCGGAGGGCGGGGCAAGCCAGCAATTTAACAAACGGTTCGGCTGCACCACTGGCTATAGGGCGGCCCTTTGAAGTCCCGCGGCAAGAATTTAAACAGTTTTTTTTCCCTCCTCTAGCAGGATGCGGGGTAAATGAACGGCCGGCGATCCAACAGAGCAGAGAGTGAGGGTGAGTGAAGGCGTGGGGGGGGGAGAGAGAGCTTTGGCGACCCCTGTGAAATGGCCGTTCGACCCCAAAGGGGTCGTGACCCCCAGGTTGAGAACCGCTGAACTATGGGATGATTAAAATTATGAGTATCTGTAGCCAGATCACTCCATAAGGATAGCCATTACATTTCCTGCTCAGCTCAGGATGATCTTTTATAGATAAATAAAGCAATTGCTGATAATCTGTGAAATACATAATGCATTTTAGGGCAATCTATTTTTTCTGATTCCTTGCTGTAGCAACCAACTAACCAACTCATGGTGACCATGAGAAAACAATTATAGAAATGTGCTCCATCATGAAGTGACTTTCCAACTCAGAAGTAAAGACCAGCTCCAATTGCCTCTTATGTTGTCCCCATTATTTTGGTTTTATTATTAAGGTTTATTTCAACTTATGTTCAAATGTTATTTTGACTTAACTGCCAAACATTTTAATATTATAAGATATTGCTTAAAAATAGGTAGATTGTTAGCTTTAACTAAATACTTTCTGATTCCAGGCATCATCCTTATAGCATTTGAGAAATGAGTTTTCTGAATTGTCTTGTGATACCATTTCCCTTTCTTTAAATTCTCTGCCCTCTGCCAAAAAAAAAAAAAAAAAAAAAAAACCCTTAGCTCTGCATTCAAAAGATCCATTGGTTAGGAAGAATTATTTTTATACTTCTTGCCTTCTGACAACTTCTATATGGAAGTACCACAATCTTTTCTGTTCCCATAGAAAATATGCCTGTGGTGTTATGTTTCATATTCATAACACAAGGCACTGACAACAATGTTTATCTTTCATTAAATTAGGAGCAGTAGTGAACTGGACAAGGAATGAAGTTGATTAAAGTTTTATTTAATTGAAAGTGTGGTTGGTAAGTTCAGGTTTAAGTATTCATCTATCTTTGGGATGAATTTTCAAAAACAATTTGTGCCATGGCCACTTCATTTGGCTGGGAAGGCATACCTGCTTTAATTATTTTTAAAAGATGCTTTGTTTTCATGTCTGCATGTTGCAAAGCAGATATTTCAAATGCTTTTCTCAATGTAGCATTTCATAGATGAGAACTATACTGTATCTTAGCAATATATTTAGCACTTGAACCAGTAAACAGTTCCTTGTTCAGAAAGAGAGGAAAAAAAGTTTGTATTTGCAAAATAAAAAGTACAGGAAGTGTTATGTAAAATTAAGGCTTTGGTAAATGGAGTAATCCATTTGAAAATCCTTGAAAATCAAGGACCACAGTGGAAAAAATGGAATAAGGTTAAATACAAAGAAGAGCAAAGTAATTATAATAGATGTAACCATCAGATAAAATTGACAACGAAGATAAAGTAGAAAATATCTTCCGCTTTTAGGATCACCAGGAAAAGCACTACGCTCAAGAAATATACCACAGACTATCCCTTGCTGCAGCAACCATAAGAGTCTTGTCTATACCTGCAGAGATGAGAATTATGCAGGCAATGGTTTTCCTTTTGATAACACATGGAAGCAAAAGTTAGACTTTGAAGAAGCAGGATAGGAAAGTATTGACACTTTTGAATTTTGATGCACAAAAAATTCATTCAGATTACCCTTCTAGCTGACACGTTTTGTGAAGGCCTAGCTCTCTAGAAGGCTATAAAGATGGGAAAGGTGAAGGAAAGATAAGAAGAGGAAACCATGGGGAACCAAGTCAATTACAAAAGCAATGAGTGCACAATTGGGTGACCTGAAAGATTAAGTTGGAAGATTTTTCTGTAGAAAAGTCTTTCAGTGTATTTGCTGAGTTCAACACCAACTTGAAGTGACATAATCATCAATCCTGAATCTAAATGCAAAAAGCTGAGGTTAAATTGAATATGGTTGATAAAATGAAAGAAACAAAAAGGGGAGATGTGGAAAGATGTTAGGAATAACAGAAGAAAATAGCATTTTTTAGCTAGCCATTTGTTCTCAGAAATACATAGACCAAAGTACTTTTGATTCCATTTTTATTAATTAAACATAGGATTGCCTCAGCACCTTAAATATTTAATTTTGTACAAAACAGCCAAATATAACTACAAGGGGAAAAATTGGGTAAGAGACAATATGGAAATTAGCCACTATTTATTTTTAAAACTTAAGATAATCTGGTTAAAAAAAGGTTTGTCCTCCTCACCCTCCAACAAAAAGAAAACGGGGAAAGGAAAAGAAAAGAAAAGACTTTATTAGATCATAACATATTTCTAAGGTAAAAAGGAAAGAAATTAGGAGGACAAATTCTGGCAATAAAAAGATGAGCTACTAGCTATCAAGAAAACAAAAGTAGTATGACAGAAAAAGTTGAGAGCCAAGTGAATTCTGCACTATTTTTAGACTTGTACCCTGTTTTCCCCAAAATAAGACATCCCCTGATAAAAAGCCCAATCAGGCTTTTGAGCACATGGCAATAAGGCCAAGCACTTATTTCAGGGTTCAAAAAAATATAAGACAGGGTCTTATTTTCGGGGAAACACGGTACTTTAGCAAATCTGATAGAACTGAGTTTCAGAGGGAAGAAAGCAAAGGAATAAGTATTGAATGTCTGAGCTGAGGGAAATTTCTAAATTTCAATGCAGCAAATATAAGATCCAGAACTAGATTCAACTGGTAACAGAATAGGGAACTTAAATTTGGGGAATATCTACTTGATTGAATTAAAACTACCCTGTACTGTAATTTAAGATCAATTTTGATAATAATTGCACATGTAAAATATGTTTCCTGTGATCATAAAGCAAATTATGGTGTGTCCTTTTAATCTCCCTCCTATCTGAAGTGAAGTGGATTGTGGAAAGAAAAGTCTTTTTAAAGTGAGAGAATAATTTTTCTAAAAATGTTCCAATGGCCTGCTTTCTCGCCTTCCTTCCACTTATCTAATTTGATATTTTTAAAGGGAGAAACAGGACTAACAAATAAAACAACCGCCTGCTCATTTTCAGCTATAGTTTGTTCATGTTAATGGTTTTAGACTGAATTTTAGTGTATTTCATGGCTTATGCTCTTAGAAAATAATCATAAGCCCACATAGCTGGAACACATCTGAAATTTCTAAACCTATACACAATTATTTATATCCCCTTCTTTTCTTATAAAACTATACGGAAAGTCCTCAACTTACAACAGTTTGTTTAGTGACCATTTGAAGTTACAATAGCACTTAAAAAAGTGATATATGAGCATTATTCACATTTATGACCATTGTAGCATCCCCATGGATGCTTGGCAATTGACTTATATTTGTGATGTTGCAGTGACTCAAGAATAATGTGACCAGCTTTTATCGTCTTCTGACAAGCAAAGTCAATAGGGAATCCAATTTATTTAACAACTATGTTACTAAGTTAACAACTGCAGTGATTCACTTAACAATTGGGGCAAGAAAATAGCAATAGCACTTAAGACATATACCGCTTCACAGTGCTTTACAGCCCTCTCTAAGCAGTTTACAGAGTCAGCATATTGCCCCCAACGAGGGTCCTCATTTTACTGACCTCAGAAGGATGAAAGGCTAAATCAACCTTGACCCTGGTGAGATTTGAACTGCCAAATTGCAGGCAATCGGCAGTCAGCAGAAGTACTCTGCAGTACTACATTCTAACCACTGTGCTACTGCGTCTCAGTTACATGGGCAAACCCATTTAACAACTGACTCACCAACAGAAATTTTGGGCTCAATTGTGGTCATACATTGAGGACTACCTGTATAATAAAGGAGTATTTGTCAGGCCTAACCCAAATTTTTAAATATGGTAACAATGCAATGCTATTTAGTTTCATATTTAAGTACATTATTGTAAACCAAAATCATACTAAGTGGACAAGATTTGAATCTGTATAAGAGCACTGGAATTATTATATCACATAATTCTGGAAAAGGCATTAAAGGGAACTGAGTATGATAGCTGTGGAAATCTAGAGGAAAAACCAGTGGGATTACTAAGAATAGTATTTTCCTGCTGTGAAGTTCTGATTTCTTCTTCAACGTTTAAACCATTGAAAACTCAAAAAGAATATCTTCAATAAATGTGTAATTTTTATTTGGAGATTGCTTTTCTGTGAAGTGGCAATAGTCTTGCTAACATTTCCACTGCAGCAAACTTGAAGTTCTAAAATAAACTCCTTAAATAAATATATTACATAATATTGTTAGATTTGTAATTTGACCTAACTAATGTTCAAAACAGGAAGTAAGCATTCATATTTTACTGGGTGGCTTGTTTGACTTGGAAAGATTTTTAAATAATCTTCCTTGAACAGAAGCCTGCTGAAAGAAACTAATGAAAGGAAAGTAAATATATTAAAAGGTTGTCCATTAATGGCTATAATAAAACAGATCAACAGCAAATGAGTGACAAAAAGGAACAGACAGATACAAATTGAAAAATTCTTAATGAAATATGTACTTAGCTACAATTTAAATAATTATATAGCTATATTTAATCTTTGTTTTAAAATTATTGGACAAAGCCAGTAATAAGACAGCCAAAATATATTCAGATTCACATATTTGAACAGTAAAACTGGAACTACATTGAATGTGTATATTCATATACGGTTTTGTGAGATACAGTTATCACAGATGAATGAAGGCAAATATAGATGTCCCATCAGACTGTTGCAGGATCCAATCTGAGTTGTTCGCTGGAAAGAGAGATTTAGTCTGCTGAGATTTCAGACTCGTGGTGGAGCCCATCCTCAGGGAACTTCTCTCTCACCAGAATGTGAGACAATATTCTGGTGAGAGAGAAATGCCCTGAGGATGGGCTCCAGCACAAGTCTGAAAGCTCTGAAAATGAAACATCTGGCCACAGTGAGCGACCCAGATTGGATCCAGCAATTCATCCAAGATCTATCATACAGCCATAGTTGAAATGTATCTAAGACATGATTTCATCAAACTCAACTAAGTTGAAGACCTCTCTGGTATCTACTAAAATATACTAGTGAATGACCATAAAGATGCAATATGTAAGAGTGTTGTTTCTATACAAACAGCTGTGGGTTCTTCCCCCTTGAACAGAGGTGGGCTTGGCTGTCTCAGGAATTCTGGGAGTTGAAGTCCACAGGTTGCAAAAGGGCCACATTTGCCCACCCCTGCCCTAGAAGAATGAAATAGTTTGAGGAATATTAAAAAGGCAGAATATTATATTTCCCTAAATATTAAGTCTTTCTTAATAGTCCCAGCAGATATTTTGTGCTCATTAAGAAATATTGGGCCAGCCTATTCAGAAACCAGACCTAGTCTCCTTGTCCCTAAGTAGAAACTGAGGAGGCCACCTTTTAGAAAAGCAGATTTGGTAAACCATTCAAGACAGAATATTTTGAAACAAAGGGGCAGAATGGTAGGATTAAAACCAGCCCAGATCAGTCCAAAGCCCCTTCATTGCACCACCCCCAGAGCAGTCCAAAATTTACCTGGGAACTCAGATAAACAATAAACCAGAGGTTAACCAGATTAGCTCAGACAAGCACTAGGACTTACATTTCCTCTTTTGCTGATAGAGCCAGCTATGACCCCTACATGACCCCATAGGAATCTGACAACAGCCAATAGAAGGACATGTTCTTACACAGGAACAGGCAGGAAGCTCAAATACAAAGCCCAAAGAAAGTATAACACCCCCTCTCAACTCCATTTTGTCAGCTGCACAAGAACCATAAATGCTACTGGTTCTGTTCATCATTAAACCATCTTTACAATCAGCCTCCATGTTTCCAGTGTCTTTCTCCCAGCTTGGAACTAAACAAGATGGATATTTCTTCCAACACAGCAATTTTTCAATTTTGGTTTAAACTTTTAATTGAATGTAAAATCAAAGTCTGGTATATTCGTTTTAGAATCAGAGTCTATGGTATATTCATTTT